GGGCAAGAGGAGGGCAGGGGCGAGGTGAGCCTCGGCTACGAGAATAGTTTGTTATTGCTCAGGTGTATCGTCCGCCAGCTCTGAGGGGGTGGTGGCGGGTGTCCGCAGCAGCGAGGTGCTCGCCGACGCGGTGGGTGGCGGTGGTGGCGGTGGTGGCGGTGAGGGAGGGCTGGGCGACAGGACGGGGGGCACGGGGAGGCCGGGCGGCGGAGGGGTGCGCGACGACAGCGCGGGCAGCGCGCGGGAGAGCACCGTGCCGACGGCGCAGAGGACCGCGGCGACCAGGCCGAGCAGCCAGCCGGCAACGATGAGGGCGGGCCGCAGCAGCCATAGCACCACGTCGGTCACCACGCCGAGCACGAAGACGGCGGGGCGGACGAGCGGCAGCAGCAGCCGGGCGCCCAGCCCGAGCAGCCAGCCCAGCAGCAGGGAGGTGGTCTGCAGCAGGAGGGCGGTGCCCCCGACCACGGCGACGAGCAGGTGCTGGAGCAGGTCGAGGGCGCCCCTCAGCGTGGGCATGACGCGCCTGCCGCGAGGTGCAGCGAGCTTAGAGTTCCATCTGCCGGTCTGCGCCAAACAAGAGGAGGGCGACCGCTATTCGCACCAAGGAACTAATCGCAGAACACCAACCCTGCAGGCTGATTGCTGATTGTCAGCTCTACTCACGCATCGCCGCCCCCGAGGTTGCCGGCCCTGGCCCTGCCGGCCGCGACCTCGGACGCACTCGCGTGGAGGCCGTGAAGAAGGGCGCGGAGGGCCCGCGGCGGCCCGGCCGCCGGCCGAGGGAAAGCTTTTGGCGCGTGTGCGAGGGCTGCTGATTGGTTGTTCGACGTTTGGCCGTTGGCACTCCCCGGCGGAGGATCGGCGCAACAATACTCTAATTCCCACCGGGGCTGGTCACACTGTGGCCTGTGGTGGGGCGGGGCAGGCGGGGTGGGGCGGTCCTGCCTGCTCGAGGCGCAATGGCCACTAATGGGAGAGAAAGAGAGAACGCACCTCGCGCCGCCTCGCCCCGCCGCCTCCTCCGCAGTCCACCGGGGCGGGACCGCGCCCGCCGCGCTAGCCGCGCCAGCAGCGCCGCCACACGTGGCTCGTTGATTGTTGATCACGAATATTAATTTACGCCACGCAGGTGGAGAGTTGGTGGGGCGGGCCGAGTTTTCGTTAGAGAGGCCCCTCCCCCTCCGGGCGGACGGGCTCGCATGCATGGTTGTGTCGGCGCGCGACCCGGCGGCTGGCCTTTCGGGCGCGCCAACAGAACTGCATTTCAGGAGAGTAGTAGACTAGTCCTGCGTGGGCTGAACGTGACGGCGATGAGGAGCCGGACAAGCTTTTAGGGGGTGCCACCGCCGCGCCGCTCTCGACCCGTTTTGGTGGGCTTTTGGGCCCGGCGTCGTGCTCGGCGTGGCCCGCGGCGCGACGAGGGCAGGGCAGGGCTACCAACGCAAACATATAAAACATCCCGCACACACGCGCGTTGTGTTCCGCGCCGTGGGGGCACGCCACGACCCGTACGACGCATTGTCTTCACGAAACAGAGAAGCGTAACACTGGGAGAGAACGCCGAGAAGGCTGGCAGAAAAATAAGCCGCGACAAGCATCGCAAAGAGGCGCCTGGGAGTGGAATTAAATATACATGTAGCGGGCCAAAGCACCCGAAGCAATCCCCTTGCTCCTGCTCGTCGAAGAACTACTAGGAAGCCGGACACGATAGAGAAGGGGGCAGCGAAGAGAGGCGGCGGCGGCGCGGAAAGAGAGAGGAGCAGGAGGCCTCCTTTGATGACATCACTGATTATTCCTCCGTTTGGCTGCGCAGCAGGGCCGAGCCCCGCCCTTCTCCCGTGCGTCCCGTGCGAGTCCAGGAAAATTGGCAACGCGGGCCGTCCAAACGGCGGCGGCGGGCCTGAAGCGATGGCTTCCTTTTACCCGCGCTGCTCGCCGGCTCGGCCCGGCCCGCGCCGCCGGGAAAGTGATTTGGGGGGTTTGGAAACAGACAGACTCCATCTCGCTTAAAGATGATAAGCAGGCGGCGCGGCGCCGCTCCGCGCCGTGGCGTTGCAGCAGCGTGACGCCGAGCTCGCGCCGCTCATCGGCACAGTGGGGGAGGTGGAGGGGAAGTGGCGCAGAACGGGGAGGAGGATAGCGTGCCGGTCCATTGGGTCCGACTGGCCACGCCACGCCACTGCTCAGTGCTCTGGAAGGAAGTGGTGGTCCTGGAGTTGGTGATCGCAGGGGGCCCTTTGTCCTCCTGGAGGCCACAAGGGCTTATTTCGGATGGAGCAAGGGGCGGAATTAAGTTGCTTCTTATAAGCAGATTTAGGAACGAGCCATGCGCACGCAGCGTTAATCACCGTGAAAGAAGAGTTAAACCCCTAAAGGAAGCGACAGACCTTAAAGGGAAGGAGCTGGACCGACTGTGTCCGTTCAGACGATTGTCTCTATAAGCCCGTCCGCTCTGCGCGACGGTACATAGTTTAGTAGCCGGTATGCTAAACGTGCGCGGGTGACCGAGCTGCTCGTTAAAAAGCGCGCGGCTCGATAGGACATCTTTATCGTCGCCGCCGAGCACAGCGTGTCCCGCCGGGTGCCACCACCCCGGCAAGCAGCCCCAGCAGCCCCGCCAAGCCCTGCCTGCTCCTTTCTCCAGCTCCGCCTGCTTCGCCTGCTTCCCATATCTTCTGCCTTTCTCCCTCCCGCCCGCCCGTTGTCCCGCCGCCGGGCCAGGCTCTGCTCTTGCTCTCCTGGCCGGCTCCAGGCCCGAGGCGTGCCCCTGCCCTTGCCGCATTGAGCATGTAGGCCGTATCCCCCCCCCCCCCAAACAGGACCCACACCCCGGGCCAGGCACGAGGGGGCCATTAATTCGCCAAACTGGAAACTGGAGTGTCTGTCTGGCTCGTCTCTCTCTCCGTTGCGCCAGGTCAGTACACTCCTGCTGCCACTCATGCTGCTGCCTCACCGTGCCTGCTACGCTTATTCTCATGCTTCTCCTCCAGTTTGCTGGCCCCTCGTGGTCCTCCTCTGGCTCTGTATTGCCTCCTTGGCTCCTGCTGCTGGTCTCACAGAGAACCAGCCCCCCCCCCCCCTCGCGTCGACGAACGCGCTGAAGCTGGATGAACCCGCGGACCAGCAGGCGTGTGAGAAATATCTCCATCACGAGTGCGGGATCCGAAGAGAAACAAAACCCTGCCGCCGCTATTGTGGGAAGATAAAACGCACTACACGGAATTCTTTAAGATTTTAGTGGTGATAAGAGACAGAGAGTTCTTTTGCCTTATTGCTGCTCAGGGACAGACAGACGGGCGACGGGCGGCGTTCCAGCCGGTGACAGTGTGCTAGCGGTCCGCCCCGCGCTGTTGTTGCTGTTACGTGTAAATCTCTTAGCCAAAGCCGGCCGGCCGGCTGGGCAAAAGCCTCCTGCTCCAGCATTCCATTGAGCGAAGGAGGAAGCAAGAAAGGGGGAGGAGGAGGGGTGGCGCGTCTGCTTGACATCGGCCGAGGTGGGGGCGGAGCGGAGCGAGGGGTGGGGGTCGGGGTGCGGGCCTCCGGTGGGAAGGAAAGGATTCGGCGGGGTCCCCGTCGAAAGGCCCCTCCGGCCGGCGTCGTCGGCAGGGGCGGGGCGTTTGGAGAGGGGAAGGGGCGGTCCGGGCCGGCCCCCGGCGCGGCATGGCGGCGCGTCTGGCCCCAGTCGCACGAGGACGGCCCCGCGCGCTGGACGCTGCTGCTGAGGACACGGCGGGGACGCGAGCGGGAGCGAGCGTGCGCGTGCGTGCGCGGCAGACATGTCCAGGATGAGTCAGTGGTGGTGCGAATGAGAGTGAGAGAGATAGAGTGCGCGACAGTGCCCGACACAGGAGTATAGTGCAACGACAACATGGCCGTCATGGCCCGGACTAGCGCGCCGCTGCTCGGGCTGCTTGGATTAACTGGCGTGGTGCTGGTGCTCGCCGTCAGCATGGAGGGTAAGTTGTCGTCGAGCACAGCCTGCTCAATGTGCTTGAACTAGCCGGCCGATGCTCGCCGTCAGCGTGGAGGGTAAGTTTGTCTTCGAGCACAGCTGCCCGGGGTGCTTGAACTAGCTGTCTGGTGCTCGCCGTCAGCGTGGAGGGCAAGTTGTCGTCTCGGTTGTCGTCGAGCACAGCCTGCTCGCGCCGCCGTGACGTGTGCGCGAGAGATGATGCTTCCTGATGTGACACGGGCGGTTAACGCCGCCGTCCTCGGTCTGCTCTTGTCGTGGCGGGAGAGTCTTCCCGGTCACCGGCTGCCGCGCCGCGCTCCGGTCCGCTCCGGAGTGCAAGTCTCCTCACTTTTTATACTGCGTTAATGCGTGTCCATCAGTCTTGGAGGTAGTTTGCTCCGATGGCTTTTGAACTTTAAGAGAAGCGACTTCATGATTCACAAAACATAAGATTACCTTTACCACATCCCGACATATCAACGAATGAATTCAAATTGAGGTGTCGGTCTATTAATATGAAAGTTTGAGGTACACGCATCGCGCATTTCCGTTGTTCTTTTTCCGGGTGCGGTTAAAGACCTCGCACTACTCTATTTTTCGCGTGTACGCCGCTGCTTAATATGGAATCACTTGCATTAATGGGGGTAGGTGGTGCATGCACGGGATTATGCGAGCGTGCCCGTTTGTTTTTGCGCCGATGGTTTTACGGGCGCGAAGCGGGGAGATTGGATGAACACGGGCACGGTGCCCTGCTCTCTTGTAGGGCGCACGCGTCTCACCGCTCGACCCGCTCGACCCGCTCGACCCGCTCGCACGCCATGAGCACCACCGTGTGCTCTAAACGCAACACGCGCCGCGGCCAGCCGGGATCGGCCGGTTTGGAACGTTCGTTCAAAATTAAATGTTTTTTGAAATTAAACGTTTGGGTCTAAGACGGGCTGATTCACCGCTGTTTCCGGCTTGGGCCGGCCGGCCTGCCTGCCTAGGGTCGGACGCTGAGACTAGCGCGGCAGTCTAGACGGGCAGTAGAGACAAGGGCCTAATTTATAATTATGACAGAGATTTATTCCTTATCCTCGGGGGGCGACACACAGCCGCCCGCCAGGCAGGGAAAGTAAACTGTGTTACATTCAAGCTACTTCCAGGAGAGGACAAACACCTCTGTTGGTCTGTTGCGCCCGTACAACGGATCCCCTCTCTTTGAAAAAAAATAATAATAATAGGGGAATCTCCCCTTTAGTGACCCCTCTTTCCTTTCCTACCTATTTCCTCATGTTGCGTATAGAGTCCGATGATAGTATAGTGTTTGCACGACTGTGCTTAACTGTGTGTGATGTGTATCCCGCGGCCATTGCGATTCACGTTTAGAGTTGAGGAGCGTCCCGTCCAGCAGGGAGGCTTTCCCTTTTGCACCGGTCGCCTGCTCGCCCTGCTCCCCGAGCCTGCTTCCCCCCCGGCAGGCTCGATGCTCGATGCGCCGTACACCTACATGCATTAGTCCCCCCCCCCTCCCCGGGACAGAAGCCCTACAGCACAACCGTCACTGCATCGCTAAGCCCTGCTGTGCCGCCCTGTGACGTGGCGGGGGAGAGAGGCGGGCGGCGGGCGGATGAGGAGGCGGTGCAGCACAGGATATTAAAAGGGAAGTCAGCCCGGGCGAAATTTTTCCGCCTCCCGCGCCGCGCGAACAGCAGCGGCAGCAGCGGCCGCGACTGGCCCACCTGGCGGCGGCCACCGGGAGGCCGGTGGCAAAGTGGGCTTATTCGGGGAGAGGTTCCCACACCAACGTGGATTGGTTGTGCAGTCGCCCGCCTGTACTCGCGCACGAACACGCACACGCACACGCAAAATTACCGAAAAGCAGCGGGGGGGGGGAGGGACCGAAAGTAAGACTGAAAGAGTGTGGGGTAAACCGAAACCGAGAGCCTGGGTGGCGGCGGTGGTGGCAGGAGAGAGACTGAAAACGCCGAATTATTCCGTTGATTCTGATTGCGTGTGTAAGAGAATGAACCGCGGTCACGCCGACGAGATTTCGAATTAAATTTGGCGCTCCGAGCGAAAGGGAAAACTCGCACACCCTGCCTCAGCCCAACACACTTGGCCCCCGCGGCTTAAGGCTCAAGAGCAGGGAGGCCTGAAAATTAAAAGTACATTACGACCCCGAGATCAACAGATAACAGCAGACAGTAGGACGCACCAAACATTGTCCGCAATTTAAAACTTCACCTACTCTCAAGTAAAGTTAGTGGCCATTTTGTTCTGTGGTCGAGCCCGCCTGATACCTTTTCCTCCTTTCCGGCGGCCTTGATTGTGCAGAGCGCTGGCTGTTTGCAAACAAACGGAGTCGTGTGCCAATCGCAGCAATCGTCGCGGCCCGCCACTCTGCTGCTCTGCAAGGCAAATCCGGCCGGACCGCCGCCAATCCAGGACGCGGTCGATTCGCTGCGACTGCTCGCGGCGAAGGGGAAGTGGAGTGGAGGGACAGGGGAAGGGTCTGTTTGGCCTGCTGGCGCCGTGGAGCGCGCCTAAGGAGCAGCAGGCCACCTGAACCTGAACCGCCGGTGGGGCGAGGGCGGTCACGCGGTTACTACATGCGAGGCTCTCCAGGCGCTCCTGGAGAGCTGCTTGAGAGACGCCGCCCCGGAGTCGCTGGAGAGCTCTTCGTAGCGGACGAGTGGCCGCACCGGGGCGGGGCACGCGCCTGCCGTAACGCGTAACGCGCGCCGTCTGGGCGAGCCCATGAATGGAACAGTAACGCACAAAACCGGCAAGGCGATGCAGTCAGAGGCGCATGCAGGTAGTGTGTTGTGCATGTGCAGCCCCGTCCCAGTCCCATCCTCAGCAGGGGGACTCTCGAACCTAAAATGGCATCTGCGCCTCGCCAGGGTCTGGCCGGGGGGTCCGCAAGCCACCACCGGTCCGGCTCCAGCTGCTTGACATGTCAAAGGCCGTCGTGCTCGCGACTCTCCGGAAGTGCGCGTGGGTCCAGCCGCGCCGCTGCGCCGCTGCGCCGCCGCCGTCCCTCCGGTGCGACGGAATGCCGTCCGATCGCCGCCACTGCCACCGACGACGACAAACGCGCTTCCGGAAAGCCACGCAACGGCGGCACCGCACAGGGAACACTACTACTACTGGCGGGGCGGGGAGCGGGCAGCGCTTGTCTCGCGGGCGCTCCGCGGGTCCAAGCGCCAACTCCGTAAGTTTGTCGTTCCCTCCCCATTCACCTCCTGTTCCTCTGTTCCTCTTCTCCTCCCCCTCTTCCCCCTTCTCCTCCTCCGGCCCTGGTCGGGGGTGCCTAATCCGCCAGGCGCAGGCCCTCGCCCGCGTGTCCTTCGGACTGGCCCCCTGGCCCTGGCTTGGCCCTGCCATGCCATGCCGCCTCGGTGAAAGGGAAAGGGCAAGGCTGTTCCGGGGTGAGGTGGGGGAGTGGGCGGAGGGATAACGATCAGTACCACTCATTTTACTTTTGGGTCCGCTTTTCTCACTCCATAGCAGTCGGTATGATGATAGACGTTTCAAGCCACTTCCCCCGCCGGTCGATCAAACAAACGAAAACAAAAATGTGAGTACCACGACAATCCCGTGTCTGGCAAAACGCGGGAAACACTTTGGCCGACCCGTAAGTCACTTTACATTTTTTTGATGAAACGGGAGCGACAAGTGATCCCCGCCGCCACCGCCTGCTGGGGCGCCGCGGGCGGAGTAGAGTAATAGGCTGTAAAGCGGAGGTAGGTGATTTACAATGTGCCTCGCACTCGGGCTGCGTGAACACGCACGCGCACACGGGCCTCGCCCCCCCCCCCCCCTTAGCAGTAATGATATAACAATAATAGCACCTTGTAATCCCGGCTGAAGTTATAACCGCGGCTTATAATAGTGGTGCGGCACGGCGCGGCGCACCGCAGTGGTGGCGGGGAGTGGTGGGGAGCGGCAGCTACCGGAGGCACACCTGAGGCGACCCCCCCCCCTTTCCCCTTCTACTCATTTCCTCCGGTACCCACTTTATTCAATTTTGTCCCCCGACCAAATCTTCATTCTCTGCTTCCTCGTCGAGGAAACGTCGCGTTGAAGCGGTGGAAATAAATCTTATTCAGAGAGGAACAAAAGAAGTGTTCGATTTTACCACCAGTTCCTCTCTTTAATCCGTTGACTTTCCTCCGCGGGGTGTGGAGGACTTTTACCTGCTTTGACTCAGACGTGTTAAAATACGAAAGCAAAACTCGGTACCAGTAACAGATGCCTATATTGCAGAAAAGGTTTTTCCTTTTTTTGTGCGCTTTTTTTCCTCTTTACTGTAGAAATCGGTCGAAATCATTTCGCACTTGATTCCGAGTTCGTTTTGTAGTTTTACAGCGTAAGCCGAGGACGGCTGCAAGTTCCACTCAGTACAACATGCATCTCCATACAATGTCCCCGCCCATTCTAAAACTCATCCCGCTGAGGGCAGAGGAAAGGAGGGGGTCCACACACTGCACCGGGCGAGCGGGCGGGCCATTTATTTTTATAATATTCTGCTAAGGTGTAGAGGACAACATGACACTCTCACGTGTTGTGCACTTATGCTGTCCCATAAGAAATAAGTACTCTACCCATTATGACACTGGCATGAAAAGCAAAGCGCACGGTAAAAAAAGTTTCTTGTATTTCAAGACCCGTCTTGGATCTAAGGGTTTTTAAGGTATCATCTGCTAAAAACGACAAAAGAGGGATGCACTCTAACGTGAAAACGTTCGCACGTTCCAGGTACCTCTAATCGAGAGCTTTCGTGGGCGGTAATTTTCCTATCGAAATCGTAGTCCTGTGCTCGTTAGCATGGGGCGGTAGCGGCTTCTATGCGCTCACGAACCAAAGACAGTGAAAGTGTGTTCGATGACGGCCCAGGGCGCCGGGCCCCGCCTCTGTCCCGTTTGGACTGGTGACCCGGCCATTGTGCTCAAGAAAATGTCCAGTAGAGTGGAAGAGTGAGGACGAGTTGCATTGAATGAGGCATGCGTCGCACATGAC